TCCTTCCTTCCTTCCTTCCTTCCTTCCTTCCTTTTCCTTGTCGTTCTTGCACAAAGCTCAAAGGCAGCAACTACCTGGAACATCTCTGGTGATGTCTTTCCTGTCAATTGCTTGCAATGAACCTCCCACCTAAAACCACCTATTTGGTGTTGAAAGGCATATTAACGATCAGTTAAACTAGAGAATTGCCCTTGGAAGTGAAAGCTTTGCTAACAGCTTCCTGATATGTAAAGCAATTAGCTACTTGAAAAACGCATTCTTTTAAATGCTAATAGCCATTGTTTTCTCACACATAAGTAAAAAAATTAAGTCATGAGGGGTTAGATTGTTGCAAAGATTTAATTGAGAGAAAAAATGAATGGAGAAGAATTAATTCACTATCTTAAAGAAAAGAAAATGGTGTATGTTGTTTTCTAAAAGAACTAAGATGGACCCTCTTACCCCATTCCTGTAGCAAAATGTCCTCTAACAATAGAGCTATGATTTGCTGAAATTAAAATGCTATTATGCTTAAATTAGGGCTTCAATATTTTTAGCAGCTTTAATAGGCCTTGAGTTTTATAGGACATCTGATAATAGAACATTAGACTTTTTACAAGAACCCAATTGTTTTTGTAATATTTTTAAAAACATGTTTTTATTTCTTCTTCAGAGGTGAAAACAAAGGTCCTGGCAGCCTCAGTGGGAAGAGGGTCTTCCAGGGGTCTGCTTTGTGAGCAGCAGAAGAAGGTGGCCCCCAAAGGAAGGAAGGAAGGAAGGAAGGAAGGAAGGAAGGAAGGAAGGAAGGAAGGAAACAGACAGACATGGAGCAAAACAAGGCTGAAGGCCACGCTGGGAAATGGTGCCACTGTGGCTGAGAAGAGGTTCCAGGGCAGTGATGGTGAACCTTTTAGAGACCCAGTGCCCAAACTGCAACCCTAACCCTAACCCTAACCCTGGCTTTCTAGTAGTGAACTCCGGTGAACTCTGTGCTGGGGCAATGATGGCCCCACTTGTGCCGTAGGATTGCCATCACTGCCCCAGGGCTTCCAAATCACCTTGCTCTGGCCCTCCGGCACTGACCATGCCAGGAGGTTCAAGACTGTTCTGGCTCTGTTCCTTCCCTGTTCTTTGGAAGAAAAGGCAAGGCAAGGCAAGGCAAGGTGGCCAACTGGCTGACATCCTACCTCTTCCTACATTTTGCTGCCCAAGGTTTAGAAGCCTGAAATCTCTTAGCCAAAGTTAGTCACAGGCTTTTTTTAAAAAAAAATTCAATGAGCCTAAAATTGTATAGGAAAGTTAATCAGGTCTCTAAAGCACAGGCAATGCAAATGGAAGATATTACCTATGGAAGCCAGAAAGATCTTTCTCTGTCCTTTGGACTCAGACAGAGAAACAAGCAGAAGAAATCATGGCTGGGCATCCCAGAAACTGGCGGCTGCCCCCAGGCAAAAAATCAGGCCCCAAGACCCCCAAGCCTTCACTCCCCCCCCTACATATGCTGTGCACCCCGATGTCCAGGGGCGTCTGTGTGCCCAGAAAGAAGGAAGGGGCGAGCAGAGGAGGGCAGAGGGTAAAGGCCCCTGATCCAGGGTGACCATGGGGGTCAATCTTCTCCATTGCCTGTAAGACCCCTCACAGTACCCACTTGTTAACCTTCACCCTCCCCAGCCATGTACGTGGCCTGGATCAGGGCCCCTCCAGGCTCTTGGCAGCTGCCGCTGGGGGAGGATTCAGACAAAGGGCAAAGGGCAAAGGGCAGGGGGCAGAGGGCAGAGGGTGGCCCTTGGTGCCAAATCTGAAACAAGATGCACACAAGTAGCCATACGTCTCTCACACACACACACACACACACATATAAGCCATCAACAGATTACCAAGCAAAACTGGAGTACAAAGAATAGAAATTAAGAAAAGGAATGTACAGATTTTAAAATCTGAATAAAGATTTTTTTTCTGAGAAAGCTCACTCCTTTTTAAACTGGAGGTTTGAATGTTATTTTTTAGCTCAGGATTTCTTTTTCTGGGGTGGAACTGGAGGCTCCCAAGAGAGCGAGCGGATCGGATCACTCAGTGTCAACTCCTTTTCCTTTCTTGATGAGTGTCTGCTCAAAGCCCAGAGGCGCCTGGGACCTCTCAGTCTCTGAATATTCACACCCAAGGGGATGCACTATTTCTGTACACTCTGTGTGTGTGTGTGTGTGTCAAATTGAATTCACTTCACGTGTCCAACAGGTATTGGGATTATAGTGCAGTTATCTCCCCTTGTCTGGTTAGAACAGTATACCAAAAAGAAAAACCAAGACAACCTCTGTGCTGCTGAAGAGTGATCAAGTCAAAGAGTGTTTGGTTTTCACATTTCTGCTCCAGTTTGTGGTGTGATTGTGGTAGTGAAATGCTAGTGTGACTTTGCTGTGTCTTTGTAGTGCTCATATCATCAAATGTGCAGAGAGCTGTGGATCAGGGTGCCCACATGTTTTCATGGGGGGGGTGAGCGTTAAGTGTCTCACTTTTGGGCTACCAAGAGAAAGAGTCCAGTGGTCAAATCTCAGCAGGAGGGTATCAGGGAAGGGGAGTGCTAATGAGAAGGAATTGGGTCAAGCCACTGCAGGGATGACTTGCTCCCTTTCCCATCCCATCCCATCCCAAGGACTCAAGGACTGAGGTGCCACTTCCCAATCTCTTCTCCACAGCACACAGTTTGGCCACGCAGCAAAACACACACACACACACACACACCTGTCCCTTTGGGAACTGGAGTCTCTGCAAGGCACCTGCCCAAGGTTACCCCTCAGCAAAGAAACCCACAGCCTTGTAATAGACACATTCCCTTGTTTGGCTCCTTCCCTCCCTTCCTCCCAGAGCTCACAGAGGAAAGGAAGGACTGGAGGCGGATGGAGAGGACCCCCAGGCCTGCTTCCCCATTGCCCTAAGAGGCGAGGGCGGCCTAGCTGGAGATAGATGCCCCTCCGATGCTCCCCCTCCATTAGCCTCTCCTGCTCAAGTGGGGAAAGTGCTCATGAAGGGCAGGCTAAGAGCACTGAGAGAGGGCCAACGTGGCCTAGTGGTCTGAGCATTGGACTATGACTTGGCAGACTAAGGTTCAAATCCCCACTCAGCCAGGGAAATCCCTGGGTGACCTTGGGCAAGTCACACATTCTCAGCCCCAGAGGACAGCAAAGGGGGCAAATCCCCTCTAAACAAGCCTTGCCAAGAAAAGTCCTGTGAGAGGTTCACCTTGGAGTCACCATAAATCAGAAATGTCTTGAGCACACACAGCAGTGCAAGAGCACTGTGGACTGTCAAAGGCCCTCAATGGGAACAAGGGAACGCAGCCCTCCTGCCCCGCCGCCCCCTCCTTACTTCCACCGTGTTTGCAGGCAAGATGGCCTAGGGGTCACATTTGGCTGCCAGACTGGCAATCCCTAGCCTGCCCTGCTTGGAACAGAAATAGCTCAACCTACCTGAGAACCCAAACCCCAAATAGAAC